CCTGGGACTGCACATGAAGAGAAGTTCCAATACTGCTGTGCCACTCTACCTAGAGTCAGCCTCCCTAAACGCCACCCCCACCACTGTTCCTGGTGCTCCACCTCCAGTCAGAAGACCTGTGGTTGCTGGGGAGGGTTGATTGCGATAGAAGATTTTTCGGGGCTCTCTCAAGTCTCCAAGCCCTGCCTCGGCCAGGTGTTTTCTTGCAGAAAGCCTGTAGCAGAGCCTGTCTCTTCTCCCCAAGGCAGGCTAGTGGGTTGCAGCTGTGGCAGATGCTCTTGGGCGGGCTGGCTGGCCCTCATTCTGTGGAAGCCAATAGCCCCAGTGGCCTGGGAATTCTGGGCTAATGCTCAACCCTGGCATGGTCCTCTCTTGCTAACCCCTCCAGTCCAGGTCCCTGTGACAGATGCTGGGAACATATGCTGTGAATTAATTCTCTCCAGCACAGTCGCCGAGGACCAGCCTGTTCTTCTGTCTGCTCCAGTCACCTTTGCTTTCGGCTTCTCCCAATGCCTAAAGAAAATTCCGATTTCCCCTCCTCCTTGGTCCTCACACTGTGCCCACTGCCCCCCCTCCGACCTCCCCACTGTTGAAGGCATTTGCCTTCTAGAGACTAATGGCATCAGAGGGCTGAAAAGAAGCCCAGAATTCCTGCTCCTAGCTTCTTGTCCCCAGATAGATTATGTCCCTATTTTCCTGAAATGGATGCATTCATTCTTTTTTCCATCAGGAATCTCTCTCTCTCTCCCTCCCTCCCTCTCTCTCTCTCTCTCTCTCTCTCTTTCAGCCTCCCTCCTGCTCCTGTAGCCATGCCCTGTGTCGTGGTGGTATGTCAGCCATGCCCTGCTTTCTGGCCCATTATAAACTCACTCTCTCTCTCTCTTCCCCCCCCCACCCCAGCCTCAGGCCAGACTATTCCCATTCTGCTAGTCCTTCCTTATATCTAACTCAAATCACTCCTGCTATGATAATTCTCAAGATAGAAACATGCCGCTGAATTTTGAGGGTGAGTTTGAAGTCTTCCCTATAAGGAAGGGTTGGCAGCCTCTTCCTGAGAAGGACTAAGTAGTATATATCTCAAGCTTTACAGGCTTTACAGGCTGAATGGTCTATGTTCTGCTCACTTAGCCCCAAAGCAGTCACAGAGCATATGTCAACATATGAAAATGGCTGTGTTTAGGCAAAACTACAGAATAAGGAGTGGGCTGGCTGGCAGGGCTGGGGCTTACTGACCCCTGCTCAAGTGAACCAGTGCCCCTCTTCTTTCTCAGAGTTCTCCTGTCTCCTCTGCACTTGGGAGCAGGGCCCAGGGGTTCTGCTTTGGGGAGGAGTGCTCCTGTTTCTTTCTCTGCTGCCTCATTAGCATCTCGAGGTCAGTCAGGGCCAGGCCTCCTTTGGCTCTGTGCTCCTGAAAGGCACATGGAGCTTGACAGAAATGCAAACATCTCCAAGTCTCATCCTGAAAGCACTTCCAGGCTAGTGGAAACATGCTCCTGCAAACAGAGACGAGCTGAGAGAGAGAAAAAAGAAAGAGAAAAGGAAGGAGAATGCCTCCGGAAGATGCCAACAGCCACCTTGAAAGACTCAAGGAGACATAAAAAAACTAAGAATTGAAGACTGATGCCCTAAAGCACTGGAAAAACAACAACAGTTGTTTGGCAGTTTGTGTGCCACATAATCGTGTATGATGGTGCAACCTCACTCCCAGGGATCCACCTAGGAAAACAGATGGCCTTTGTCCACATGAAGCCTTGTTCAGTCCCCAACTGGAAGCCACCTAAACATCCACCAATGACCAATGAAAAAAGCCAAAGATTGTGGAGAAAAATACCTTGCAACAATAGAGATTAGGCAAATGTTTCTCCGGGGAAGCCACCGGATTTAAAACTCTACATATTCTGGTCTAGAAACTGCAAACTTTTTTTTTTAAGATTATTTTATTTTTTAAGGTTATTTTATTTTATGCACATGGGTGTTAAGCCTGCATGTGAGATTACTTGGAACTGGAATTACAGACAGTTGTGTGTTGCCATGTGGGTGCTGGGAGTTGAATCCCAGTCCTCTGCTCTTAACTGCAGAGCCAGAAACTGCAAACTTAAGGAGTCCCAGCAGATGGGCAGTTGCCTAGGGCTGGGGAAGGCAGCAAGACTAACTGTAAGGACATAGGGAACAGCACGGCAGCCAGGGAACAGCAGCACTACAGTGATGTACCCAGCTCCCCAAATTTACTAAAATCACCGAGTCGAACACAAAGGTCTCCAAATAACACAGGTCTCCAGCCCAGTGTACCCACAGGTCCCACTAACCACTGGGCAGAGGTCTTCACCTATGAGGCCCTCACTCCTATCAGGAGCATAGTGTAATTTGTCCGTGGAGCATGGAGCTGAAAAGCCTTGAAAGTTCCTGGGGACCAGTCAAGACAAATCAGCTTCCAGAGACACAGAGAGAGACTCCTAGTTCCAGTGGCAGGCCTGCCCACACATTTCTCACAGGAGCTCTTCATCAAGAGCTGCAAATTCCAGGGAGTGTTGTGCATACAAACCCTCTTCATACATTCTGTCTGGCCAGCACACTGGGCAAACCTGGTCAGCCTAGGATCAGACAGCCACCTCCCAACATGACAGAGCCCATTGTTCCTGTTCCACACAACATAAGTATCTCTGCTTCTCCAAGCTGAGACATGAATAGGAATTTTTAAAAAAATGAAGAAAAATCTCCTATGATGCTAGAAGGCCAAAAGAGGTGGAGAATGCCTGTGACATCCAGAGACCATGGGCACACAGAGGCAGAGCATCCTATCTCCCCAATCTGCTTGACCTCCATACCCTGACCTCTAATACCCCTCAGTCAGGCCTGGGCTATCCCAGCCTCCTGGCTCTGGGAGGGTCCTCTCCCCTGGACAAACAGTCTTACTCTTTCCATTGGCTCCTTCAGATCTTTGGGGAAATGTTTCAGCAAATCTGAAGCTTTTCCTGATCACACATTTCTTTCTACTTTATTTTAGACATGGGGTCTCATGTATGCTAAACTTGCTATGAAGCTGAGGGTAATCTTGAACTTCTGATCATTCTGCCTCCACCTCCCCAACAGAAAGCTTACAGGTATGTGTGAGCCACCATGCCCAGTTTGTGTAGCACGGTACTGAACCCAGGGCTTTGTACATGCTAGGCCAACCCTACCAACTGAGCCATACCCCAGATGGGCTACCCCATTTTAAATGCCAATGTGTATGTCTGGCCCCGTGTGCTCAGGCACACTGAAGGTCCCATACTGCAAGCCTGAAGGCACTCCAGGATGACAAGAGATGCCCACTCTGGGACTAGGGAAAGTTTCAGAAAGTTCTAGAGAATGTTGGATTCTGCCCATTTGTTACGTTAGACTACGTTTGCCAGCCGAAGGCACCTTAGGGAGGAGAAAAGCCCAGGTGCCACTCATGGGGTGGAATAAACTGTTGAACACCGGCACTGTCACTCACTCAGCATGGGATGACCCTGGGCAATGTCTTCTTGTCTCTGAGCTGCAGCCTCGGCACTGGTCACGTGGGCAGAGCATGTTTCAGTGTGTCCCTGACAGCTGTGGGATAGAAGGCTGGTGAACTGCATGTGCTGGGAGCTCCTCGGCTAGCATACTTGAGCACTCGGTGTGGGCTGGAATTTGTTGCTGTTGTAGGGAGAAGAAAGGAACCAAGCCCTAGCTATTAGCTCGGGCCAGCTGAAGACCTCCAAGGTTGTTAAGAGCCTGGAGGCCGCTATGGAGTTTGCTAGTAATTAAGGGACTAGAATACAGCCTTTGTCCTTTGGGTTTCAGAAGGATGTAGGCTCAAGAAAAGCCAGCCTGGATGAAAACTTCTCAGTGGCCATGGGAATTATTCCAAAGAAGGCCTGTCTAGTGTGACTCTGAAACAGGAGGCAACAGGACCCCAAAGCCACTAAGTCCCTGAGTTTATAATTAACCGACAAGCATCCACTCTGCAGATCTGGAGCCCAGTAGCTCACCAGGGAAGGGCACTGTAGTCACACAAAAATAACCCCCCAGTGGGTTTTTGATGTGTTGAGCCTCTTTGTTTTCCTGAATTTTAATGAAGAGCTTTCCAAGCAGGAAGGCTCAGCGCTCAGCTTCCCACTCCCTGGCCAGAGAATGGGCCTTGGCTAGCTACAGCAGCCTTCCTGGGTCCACATGGCCAGCACAGGCAGCTGAGAAAGGCTCCTCCAGTTTCCCACAAGATGTCTTGAGGGAAACAGAGAAAAACTAAAACAGGAGGCTGTTGAGGAGGTGAGTGGGGCTTTGTGCCCATCTCATCACATTCTGGAACAGGCAGTGAAGTGGTGGAACACCAGCAGTGGTGTGCCAAGAAAGCCACAGGCTCCTGAAAGCAGAGATGGGAAGCAAGGGGCCTGGCTCTGAAGAGAGTGCTTCGGTGGGTTTCTTGGGGCCGCTAGGATGGAGCCTCCCAGTCTGAGCAGCTAGGTGGCTCTGGAGAGCCTCAGGCAGAAGGAAAAAGGAGAGTGTTGTCTGAACAGCAGCCTGACCAGCCAAAGCCCCCTCATTATCATACCCTGACCCTCCACACCCACCACTTGCTGCTCTGGGAGGGCACAGTGAAGCTAGAGCACAAAAGTGCATTTGATGACCCCGAGGGCCACTCCCCCAGGACTCACATAAGCAGCCTCTAGGTGCCATTCTCCAGGCAGCTGCTGAAGCCTCCAGAGAAGTGGCAACTGCTTCTAGAGACAGCCATCCTCCCTCCCTCATGCTCTTCAACTATGGAGAGCGTTTAGAGTCCTTATCTGATTTTTTAAAAGTCACCTTCCTGCTACACATGGTATCATGCCTGTAATTCCAGCACTTGGGGAACTGGGGTTGGAGGATCAGAAGTTCACAGGGAGTCTGGGCAAACAGAAACAACAAAAACAACAACAAAAAAGAAAGAAAAATAATTACCTTTCATCAATCATGAGTCTAAGAGTCTAAGAAGGTACTGGACAGAATGGAAGAAATGCTCACAGAATAAAGCCATTTATTGAATTGGAGTGATCCAATGTGGTCTACTGAAAATAAATATTTTATTACAAAATATTCAGTATAAAAATTCTAAGCTGCTTGCAAGCTCTCTTGGTTTTAGACTTCTTCCATTTATTCAAATACACAGTGACGATGCTGGGTCATGTATACCTGGATGGTCCCACAGGGTCTTCCTTCTCTGCCCGCAGCAGGTCCCACTCCGTGAGGAGCTCTGATGACACCTCAGTGTACAGATGGTCCCAGTCCCAGCCCACATCATCCTGCCAAAATGAAGACTACTAGGTAAGAGAAAGAAAAGCCTTCCCTCCAGTCAGTGGCCAACTTCCCACCCTATCCAGGTCCAGGAAGGCACAGGCTATGTTGGGGGCTCCCTGGATGGAGGAACATTGAGGCTCAGGGCAGGAATGAGTACTGTACCTCTCGAACTTCATGCTCTGGCGCCAGCACTTTGGTGAGGAGCTTCAGGTCAATTTCTCCATCCTGCAAATGTACAAGAAGCCAGGCTGGACCCTTGGGGGCTTCAGCATCACTTTTACAACTAAGGAGAGGAGCTTGCGTGTGACAGAACTCCCCAAAATAAGACCCTAGAAAAACCTTGATCAAAACACAAATCCCCCAAGTGAATGGTATGGCCCCTGAGAAAGGAGGGGTGGCTGTGGCATCGTCCTCCACACTGGCCTCACTGGGGAAAAGCAACACCAAGAGGACAGAGCATTCCACATGGGCAGATAGCAACGGGGTGGCCGCCAGGTGGCCATGGTGTGCCAAGAGTGTGGCCAGAGAGCAGCTGGGAGTCTGGGACAGGAATCTATGGCCCATGGAGGGTCCAGGTATGCTGTGAGATGGCCAAGGATGTCACCTCCAGCATTTCTAGGCAGCCTTGGGATGTGGAGAAAGTGTGTGTATCTCTAGAAGAACTGAGGACTTTCACCCTTGGAGGTCCCCTGGAGCTGGCCCCTCTGGGCAGCAGTGAGTCCACTCACCAAAGTCTGAAAGGCTGAGTACTTCATGAGGTCATTGTCCAGGTCACGGTAGGTCATCACTCTGTTTACCTGGATGCTGAAGGAAAGGGAGTGAAAGAGCCACAGGCAGTATCGGTTCTAGGAGAGCTCCTGGGTTACCATCTCTAGAACCTTGTGTGCAGACAAAATGCCCTAGTAGAGTTTGAAGAACAGAATGGAACCCCTTGCCAGAAAGACCAGCAAGGCCCGCTGCAGATGGCGTTTGGAGTGTGTCAATGTATATGCCCTGGGCTTCCTCACCAACTTCACACTTAGCTTTACCTACCTTGGAGGGGACGCCACCTGCAGCACGAAATCTTCCTCCTGCACATCTTCCAGATCCGGGATCACTGGAATATCTGCAAGGAGAGGTGGAGCTGTTTACTGTCCACAACGTGAACAGGGCTCCTGTCTATTGCCCACTGACTGCTTAGTCAGCTTCAACACGCCAGGCCTGCCACTGTAGGCTGTGGTTTCACAGATACCCAGACAGAGTCAAACATGGAGCTCTATCCATTGCTGAGCCACAGGCCTTATCCCAGGATGCATGGAAGGAGCACTTCCTGATGGACTCTGGTACCTGTGTTTCACCTTGAGTTACATACAGTGACTCGGATGTAGTCACTAGGGAAGGGGTGTTGGGATGGATCTCCACGGAGAAATGTAAAGAATGAGAAGAAAAGCTCAGCCCCTGGAGGGGGTAGATGAGAGTGGAGCCAGGGGCGTGGGCACAGTCAGGGACAGAAAGGACGACACGCAGGTCACAAGCAGAAGTGACACACATTCGGGATCTACACATGTGCTAGCTCCAGAGAGCAGCTGTCCCGGGCAGGATCCCAGCTGCTTGCCTCTGGAGGACACTTAACTCCAGTCACAGAACCTGACTCCTGACTCCTGACACCATCAGAGATCAGGGTTGCCATTTTCCAGGCCTACTGTGACACTGGCTTTTTCTTGCAATTTTTGGGAGTTCTCTCTCTTAACTCTCCAGATATATCACACACACACACACACACACACACACACACACACACACAATGTGCAGAGATATAAAACCACTCCTCCTGCCAGTCTAGCAATGTCACACAAACAGGAGAACCAAGGGACAGGCCTGTCACTCCATTAGGGCGACCTGCTTAAGTTGCCAAAAAAGTATCCATAGAGATAGACACTTTTCCTCCAGAAGACTTCTATTGGCTTGATTAGGGGTTTTGTTTCACTCAATCAGGGCAAAGAAAAAAAAATGGTGGGGCAGAAAGAGAGGCTATGTGGGGTGAGGCAGTCTTGGGACTCTAAACCAACTGCAGATAGACGACAAAGAAAAACATCCCAGAGGGAAGGCTTGGGCTTCCATGGGCTAGATGCAGTTTTAAAGTCCCCGAACAGCTGGGGAGACTCCTGCCACTTCCAGCCTATTCATTATTTAGACATTGTGACTGCTCTAGTCAAGCTAAGCCAGAGTACATAAATGTCTTTATTACTACTTCCAACTGCAGACTTACAGACTCACTGTGCCCAGAAATGGAGAGTGAGCAAAGGACAGGGGAGACTCAGAAAAGAAGACAGGGTACCTGGGAAGAGGGCTAAAAATAAGAAGAACGTGCTAACAGGAATTGAACAAGAGACATTCAGCAAGCCCTGTATCTAAAGGGGGCCCTTCTGAGCTTGGAGTCTATCTCCCTGTCCTGTTACAAGCATAAGACTCGGAATCCCTAAGATTTCATTCCTATAATGAAGAGAAATGTAGCTTTCTTTTTCCCCTGTCCCCACAATCAGTACAGCATGCAGGTGGGGCTCCCTGGCTACAAGGCTGCACAGTCCGGCAGAGGGACGGAGAAGCTGGCTGTGTCCTGTGCCATCCACAGAGTGACAGTTTTCGAGCCAGCCAGTCAGTGCTCGCTCACTGTTGGCTCTCCTCAGCTGTGGAGTCCAGCCTGAGATGAATATTCAGGAGTTACTGAGAAATGGCCCACGCTGAGTAGGGGCTCAGGACGGGGTCTTCCCCAAGTCCCCTTTCCCTTCACAACTCCAGCATTTGGACCGTCAACTCAGCCCAGCCTCCTCAAGCTCGGAGGAATTGCACTTCTGCTCAGCGCTCACTGTCACTCCCCCTGGGCTCTCCTGGTGGGCCCCACTTCCCTCCTCCAAATGTGCACCAGGGAGTGTGGGGCCTGCCCATCTGTGACAGATCAGAGGTCAGCACAGGCCTTGGCAAAAGGCTGCTCAGAGTGGCACTGGTGGGGCTGGCCACACAGTGGGACTTCTCTCTAATTGGAAGCCTGGTGCCCAGTAGAACCCGGTGAACCGCCTGAGTGAGACAGAGCCAGCGATGACAGCCAGGCCAAGACAAGCTGGAACATTCCAGTGCAGTGACAGCTTGAGCTATTGCAGCAGAGGCAGGCCATCCAATTCCCCACTCCCAGTGGAACAGGTGGCCGTGGAGCAGGTTTTGGGCAAACTTCAAAGAACTTCAAAATTTTAGAGTTTGGATTTACAGTCGCAGACAAGGGCTTGCTTATGTGTTCAGAGGATGTTCTGGGAAATCAGTCTTTCTTTTCTTCCCTTTCCCCAACCTGACCCCTTTGTCACATATAGCGTGACCCAAGCTAGAGGGAGAGAGGGGGAGAAATAGAAACTTTAGAAACTTGCTTCTTCGGGGCTGGGAAGATGGCTCAGTAGATAAAATGCTTGCTCTGAAAGCATGAGGACCCGAGTTCAGATCCGCAGCACCCAGGAGAAAGCTGGGTGTGGCAATGTGACCTGTAACCCAAGTGCTGGGGGAGGAAACAGGCAGATCCTTGGAGCTCACTGGCCACCTAGTTTAGCCAACCAGTGAGCTCCAGGTTCAGTGGGAGACTCTGTCTCAAAAACATGGACAGCGATAAAGGAGGTGCATGAGCACCTTCTCATAGCCCATACACACCCTCACATACACATATGCTCCCTCCCTCCCTCCCTCCCTCCCTGACTCCCTCCCTTCCCCCTCTTCTCTCTCTCACACACATTACTGGCACACATGGATGGTAATTTGGACTTTCAGAACACACTGTCCTTACAGAGATAACAGGGAAGAAGGGAGTCAGTTTAGTTCTGTTGAGAAGTTACCACTATTTCATCCGTTTCTGCAGAACCGAGGCCAGAGCCCAGGGCATGTGTGTCAGGAAAGTCCTCTCCCACTGATCTAGACCCCCAGCCAATCTACCACTGCTTCTAAAAGCCATTTTTTTCTCACCCTATTACTTGAAAAGCAGCTAATGACTAATGCATCTTATGCAGTACATGGCTATACTTGGCACAAAGGAAGTGCTCAGTGGACAGGGTGGTGAGGTAAAGCTGAGCAGGCATGCAGAATTCTCCCCCAAGTCAGGAGCACAAGTCCTGGGGTCGGGAGTGTGAATCCAGGCTCCCCTGCATACTAACGGTGTGGCTTATGCCCTCTTTGCCTCAGTTTCTTCATTTATAAAATGAATGTCATCACTGCTGCTGGCTCTTTGGCCATCATGAATATCAAATGCAATAATATGAAATGCTAAGCACTACTACTTCACTGGGAACTGTTGTAACACGGAGGAGCATGGGGAGAGGCCATGGCCCTATGCTCACTTCCTCAATCAATCCTGCCTGCGCTGATTGTTTTTAGACGCGAGCATGGAGGCAAAGTAGGACCAAATAGCTTGTGTGAGATGAAGCCCCCAACAAGCGACAGAACCAGGCTTCTACCTCCTCCGAGGCTCTCTCAGACCAGGAAGCTTTCTTTTCTAATGTAAGCATCACACCCCCAAAGACACCTGCCTACAGGGGAACGCCAAGACACTTCCAACAGTAGGGATGGCTTCCTTGGGTTCCCGGATCTAAATAAGCTTAGTCCCCACTCAAGTGCCTGACTTGCTACAGTGTACAGAATGGCAAAAGTGTTGCTGTAGCAGAGAACCCGGTGACACCACCCTGCCATGTCTCGCTAAACTGGTGAAGGGGGCTGGGTATCTTCAACAGCCAGGAGAAAGGTGAGGAGAGGTGAGGAATCCATCTCTCACCTCCTTGCTTGGAACACAAGTGGAGTCTCCCTGCCCCACCCCCACCCCCAGTGTCTGCCTCATAGCCCCAGACCAGAGTCCTGACATCCCTCCTTGCCCTCCATACTTCCTCCCTGCCTATGTTAGCTATCTCAGTAAGCTGTGTAAGACATTTCTCTGCCCCACATGGTGCCTGGTTCAGTCAAACTGTGGGAAATATTGTCCTCTTGTTTGTCCAGCTTGGTCACCCATCTATCTACCCATTCATCAACTTGGTGATCCAAGAACCCACTATGTGAAAGGTGTCCTGCTAGGCAAAGCCAGTAGTGGCAGCACACAAGGCAGGCAGAGCCCTAGTCTTCATGGAGACCAGACAGACAAGCATAATAAACAGAAACAAGTATCCTGCTTACAAATAAGAATACATACTAGGAAAGAAACTGACTTTATTCCATGAGAAAACAATAGGGAAACCTAATAGTTTTTTTTTCCCCCTAGTAAAATAAAAATCACATTATAGGTGCAATGAATTAAATGCTATAGTGAAGTTAGCATGGAAAGTTTAGCTTCCTTCTGCAAGCCCAAGTCCTTTCCTCAGAGGTAATCATTTAACTTTTGTATGGATTTATGGAGCCATGGAGCACACCACAGCACATCTATCCTTCTGCGTGTCACAGTCTTTCAAACAGCCATCTCGAATCCCACTACACGAACGCACCATGATGTGTGTAACCCTGTCCAGGAAGGATCTGGTTTAGAATATGGGGTATGGGGTGAGGATTTAAAGGAAGTCTGCTGGAGTTGGGGATAGACAGCTGAGAACTGGAAGGGAAGCAAGAGCAAGGCTGACAGGGACAATGTGAAGGGCACTTAGAGAGGAGATAAACCCTGAGACCCTGAAGGTCAGTTTGGATGGTTGGAAAGAGACTGGCATGGGCTGGGCAGGACTGCACAGGAGAGGAAGGCGCCAGGAGAGGAAGGACGTGCACAGCTGGTCAGAAAGCAGCTATGGGTGCTTGTTGTGTGCACACCATGGAAACCAGGATAGGATGAGCGTGCAGAACTGCAAAGGGAGGCTCTGCACATGGCAAGAGATACACCAAGGGAATAGGGGAGATGGACAGCCCCGCCTTTGTGATCAACCCTGAACCCCACAGGCAGAACCAAAGGCTTCAGATTTTGTCCTTGCATAATTCAATCATGACCTCAGACAGACCTCACAGTGGTCTGCAGGAAGCAGGGTAAATGGAATTTACCCAGTGATCTCCACCCTCGTGGTAAACCAGCTGATGTCAAAGACATGTCCCCAAATAAATAACAGCAAAATAAAGGAGGGCTGAGCAGAA